GGGGGGGGGGGGGGGGGGGGGGGGGGGGGGGAATGCCCGCGATGGGAAGCACGGACGGAGTACTCTGCTGCATAACAAGTGGCTAAATAAATCTCCTTCTCTGGGCACAGAAGTGTCAGTGTTCCTGCCTGGCAGGGCTTAACTAATTACAGGCTCATTAACTCTCCCTTCGCCATCCTTCCCCCGAGGGCTGAGTGCAGTTTGGAGGCAGCAATCCGTAAGCTGCAGTTGAGGCTGTGGTGGGATTTGCATGTGAACGGACGCCTGCTCTCGGTGGAGGAAGGCTTTCCCGGCCTTAATACACTTCTGGAAGACAAAAGAGCAGGGAAACTCTGGCGCTACACACAGTATATGATTGATTTTGACAGCCCTTGGGCTCTAACAATAAATATTTATCCGTCTCAGAGCAAATGTATCCCCTTGTGCTGGTGCGTCGCAAAGTTATGGGAAGATTATTACCGTCTGCTTATTGCACGGTTGGGTTAGCTTTTCTTTCGATTATGTCAGTCAGCAGTTTTCTGTTCAGGGGCCTGTAAAGCGGAGATGTGGAGCTTCTGACCTCCTGGCCTCATCCACCCGCAGGGATTCTGCACCGAGCCCACGGGCCTCCGTGGGTTCCCCTGGGATGGGGCTAGGCTGGCATGAGCGGGGGGCATCTTCTCCTTCGTATCCCTTTCTCAGCACGGAGAAAGGAAGACCGAGCAGGGCGAGGCGAGGACATCAGCGGGTGGAGCCATGCTCATTGATGGGGGCCAGCCCACGGGGGGGGGGGGGGCAGTGGATTGTACACGCCTGCGCACCCGATCAGCGTGGGAAGCAAGGGTGCTCGCCACTGAAGATAAGGATGCCTGCCTCAGTCCGTTTCCTGCCCATGTCCCTTTTGCACGCGTTCACGGATGAGACCTTTTTCTTCTGTTTCCATATTGTGTGAGACTTAAAAAAGAAGAAGGAACAAATGTGCATGATCATTTGTAGTGAAATTGAAATTGCCTCCTTTGGCTTGAGAGAGTTCGTGTGCGCGTGGAGAGGTGCACCAAGAGGTTCTGTGCATCCTAACCGGTTGCCAAATCTGCCTCTGCAGCCGGTGGGCTCAAGCTTGTGATGACAGTGGCGCTCCTCTTATTTTGTATCCCCCAAATGCTCCGTTTCCTCACTTTTCATAATTTGCATACAGCACTTCGTGGACATTTGACTCCCAGGGAGCCAAAATTGAATTGTTGGCTCTGCTCCTCCTCCTCCTCCTCCTCCTCCTCTTCCTCCTTTTCCTTTTGCCTTTTTAAAAAACCATATTTCTTTCTTTTTACAATGCTTCTCTTTCCAGGTTAGCAAGATCAGCCTTGTGGATCTTGCAGGGAGTGAGAGAGCCGACTCCACTGGAGCGAAAGGGACTCGGTTAAAGGTATGGGGTAGCCCCTACATGCTGTGGGCAGTTTAATTATTCATTTAAAGTATCTTTATGCCATTCTTCAGTCCAGTAGGTTCCTGGGGTGGCTGACATGCAATCAGTTAAACAAGACCAATTTACAGGTTGTAATCTGCAAGTGTACAATCTAAAAAGACACAATACTCAAGAAGAAATGGATGGGGAGGAAAGAGGAAAAGAATGTTATTTCAGCAGGGCCGCTTAAATGGCCTTCCTTCCTCTTGCCTTGCTTTGCCTTGCCTGCGGCCCTCAAAGACACATCACTTTCACTAAAGTTGAGTCAGCTTCCTCTCTGCAAGTCAGGAGAGGTGACTGGTGAGGGGTTAGCTTCTCTCCTGGGATGCCATACCTTTCGGAGAAGCAGATCATGAAGGATGCAGGGGGGTGGGGCTGGATGCTGCAAGTGTATAAAGCAAGTGGGTGGGGTGAGTGTCCCCCCCCCCTTTTAAAATATTCATCCAGCATTGCTATCATTACCTTTCCAGGAAGGGGCAAATATCAACAAGTCTCTGACCACACTGGGGAAAGTTATTTCGGCCTTGGCAGAAGTGGTAAGTTCAAATTACAATCACAGAATGATTACAATATCCATAACAACAGCAAAGCCACGCTTTCGAAACTAGCTAGTGACCGACTGAGTCATCGCGAGCACCTCTGGGGAGTGTGGCAGGCCGGGGGATGCCTGTTACTGAGTCCGGCTTGCGGGCCTGGCAGGAGTGCCCCCGTTATGACTTTCCAAGGGTGGAGGGCTTCGGGTGACTGGAAAGAGGGGTCCCGTGCCTCAGGCCTCTGCATCCCACCCCGCAGTCTCTGAAAAGGTAATTGGGGTGCCCCAGGGGGAGAGAGTCCTGGGTTGGGCCATGACCTGCACGGCCCTCCTGGCTCAGCAACTTCCTCCCGGCAGCCATTTTCCAGGCAGTTTTCGGCCCCACCCTCTGAGTGGTGCTGCAGAAGACCCTGGCAGCACATGGCATGCCATTCTGCCTGAAACAGCCGAGCTGAATTCAGTGCTCTGAGACGTCAGGGGAGGCTGGCAGAGTGTGCTGGCGGGGGCTGCGCAACCTTTGGCCGCCTTTCTCCCTTCGTGTCTGGTGCCCTTACCATACCTCTCTTGGGCAGCTCATTTTCCAAAGGGGTTGAGAGAGGGAAAGGCAGGGACCACGGGCTGCTAAGAAGAGATGACGAATACAGGATCGCTGTGAGCCTGTCTAGCCAGGCTCTCTAGTGTGTACGGGCAGCACCTAGTCCGGGAGCTTCCTGTGTACATACATTGCCCTGCCCTGCCCTGCCCTGCCCGCAAGATCTTCGCTTTATGCCACCTGCCCACCGGCTCAGGCCCCCAACAGGGGTTACATGGGTGCGCGCGCGTGTGTGTATGCCTTCTGTACACGAGGGACAACGCTGGGTGATTCGGTTCCTTGGGAAAGTCATCCCCCCGATCAGGCTGTGGCTCCGGTTTACACGACCTCCTTGACCTTGCTCCACAAACTTATTTTCCCTTCTCTTCTTTTTCCGCTGCTTCCAAATGCAGGATAACTGCACCAGCAAGGTATGATGGGCGGGGGAGTAGCAGCTGCCGACCGCGAGACCGGTGTAGTCTTAGCCCTTTGCAGGCCGCTAGCTCGGGAGACGTCAGAAGCAGGGATCCTGGGGCAGCCCCGGAAGCAGAGGACTGTGCAGCAGCGACGTGGGTGGGGGCCTGCCCTTGGCAGACATGAGCGATCTGACGCCAGTGGGTGGGCACTGATTTATTTTCCATCCTACTCCTAGATGGGTCTTGCAGTGGTCTCTCATCCAAGGGGCTGACCAGATCCGCAGCTGCTTAGCTTTGGTAACAGGGGCTGCCTGACCACCTGCTGCACCCAAGGAGAAAGGGGACTTCTAGTCATGGAAAGCACGCCGTGCATCCCTGCTCCTGACGTCACTAATGTTGCTAGAAACATCCCTTGCTAGAAACATGAGTAACGTACATGCTTATTACAGCTTCTTTTTTTTCAAATCTGTATTCCAAAGAAGATCTTCAAGGCGCCCTCAGCTGGTTGCCCTGCAGACCTCTGGGAACTTTACCTCCCAGCGGCCTTCACCAGAGTGATGCTCATTTGCCAGTGTGACGTGGAGATTTGTATTCCACGCCTTCCCAGCCCTGGGCTGTCCAGTAATGGGATGCTTGCTGGGACTCGTCCTCTTGCAGGGTGGCTTGCAAAGCGTGCCTGGCCAGGACTGTGGATTTCCAGTGGAAATTCCTGCAGGTTCACCTTCGTATTTGCTCAGGCCCGTAGCTGCGGGGTAAGGGTGCTGAGCCCACTTGCTGACTGGAGTTGTTCATAACTGTTCTCTGTGCTGGAAAATGGTTTTCTCATGTAAGCAAACTGCTTTCATTAAAAGCTGCGCACAGGGAAGTGGAAAGTCAGTGTCGTCCTCCGCTCCTGCCGTCATCCCTGGAAGTTCCCTCACCTTCAGCCGTGGGGGGGGGGGGCTGGATTTCACTGCTTGCTGTTAGGCACCTAGTCTTCTGGTCAGGGCCATATCCAGCCCACCCGACCCCATGATGTCTCTCTGGGATTCCTCAGAAGGCTCCTTTCCCTGGCCTGAATCCCCTCCCTTCTCCACCATTTGTTTGGTGGTTTTCCAGCTTTTGTGCCACCCCCTCCCCCCATTCTAAATGGTTGAAAAGCTCCTCCAAAGGCTTAGTTACTGGCAAAAGAGCTTTAAGCAACAGCACCCTGGTGTGTGTTTGCCTCCAGTAATGTTGCCTTTGACTCTGTCCTCTTTGTTTTCAGGCCTGCCCACCACGGGCTGATATTTCCCAAATTTCTCTGAAATAAATATTGGCTCAGGACTATAAATGAGTCTCGACTCTCATGCTCTAGGGATATAAGGCGTTTGCTGGTTCCTGCCAGTCTGGAGCCACTGGCTTGTGGTAGAAAAGCTGGGTTGCTCGCAGAGGCTCGTATGCACGGATGCAGGCGAGGAATTCGAAGCCTCAGCAGAGGGCTTCCTGTCTTGCATCTGCTCCAGCCTGTGCCCTAGGCAGGACTTTGACCTGGGTCTTTCTCCTTTCGGCGCTGTACTACGCTGAAACATTTGGGTAGCTTCCTCTTACACTTGTCCTTGGTGCTTCTTCCTGAACAGCCCCTGAATCCTTCCCATCTTCAGCTAGAGACAAGATTATAGGGACTGAGGCCTGGGTCGCAGTAGAAGCGGATCTCTTTGTCCTCACGGCCCTTCCGCTATCAAAGGCTTTCCAACCTCTTCTCCCTTAGCGCTGTCCTTTCCGTTCTCAGTAATCCTTTTTGTCTTCTCAGTAGTTTTAAGTGTTCTTCCGCCAGAGGTTACCATCCTTTCTTAGCTTCTGCTTCATTTCTTTTTGAAGGCCAGTAGTATACCAGCTTAAGAAAAATTCAGCTTGATAATGCATCTCTCCTTTGCTAGCTGAAAAGTGAATCACTTTGAGGACACCTGCTTGGAATAGGCTTCTGAGTTATCTTGCTGACTCACACAGTCTCTCTTGTACTTTCTCTTTTCCTCTCTCTCGCTCTCTGTCTCTCTCTCTGCATTTGTGAGTATGTGTGAGAGAGAGAAAGGGAGGAGGGGATGCCTCTGCCGGCTTTTATTTGTCAAACTAAGAATTTTGTTTTCCTTTTTAATAAGCATGTATCAAATACAAAAGCAAGCATTAAAAACCCTTTATTTTAGTTGTACTGATTGACAGAACACTGCAGCCTTTGCACCTGTAGAGTCCTGCCTATTGCAGCATTAAATTCTCTTTGAAATCTTTCAAGTTGAACCCAGGCTTCATATGTTGCTTCTCCAAAGCAACAGGAAAATGTGTATTTACACTTTCCTGCCCGCTTCTTTTATGGCAGTGCACTCTTAAATGCTAAATATCCTTTTGCAGAGTAAGAAGAAAAAGAAGACCGACTTTATTCCATACAGGGATTCTGTGCTGACATGGCTGCTTCGAGAAAACCTAGGTATGTTGGCGCAGCGAGAAATCTTTCTGGTTATTTAAAAAGTTTCCATCTGATTGTCAGTTTTCTTTTGTTGTTCTGGGCTTAGGTCTTAGGTAAATAACATCCTGGAGTCTCTAGTCCTTATCTGTATTATATCCTAATAACATTTGCTTGTCTCAAAGTTGCTAGAGGGCTCCTTGTTGTGCAGCCCCCATCTTTGATATGTGGACTTTGCCTTCAATATAAGTTCCCACCCCCAAGAGAATCAAGAAAATCTCGAACTTCCCTTTAAAGCATGCACACACCCTAGGACAGTATCCAAGAGAGCCACTTTGGCCCCTCAACTGTTTGTGCCACAGGGCTTCCATGCTTCTAAAAATAACCCTGGAGACAAATAGAAATTGGGGCAGGTCAGCGAAGCTCCCTTCTGTGAGCTCCACTGATGTGCCCCGTTCCAGAAAAGAGTGTTTCTACTTGCTTTGGGCTATTTTTAGATCTGCAGAAGCTCCATTGCCCTAAACATTCCTCATTTGGGGAGTGGGGGGAGGGGATGTTACTGTAACACCAGAGGTCTCCGACCACAGTTTGTCTGGGTGGAAGTTCCTATGACCTATAGAGAGTCAAAGATAGAAGCTGTGTCGTTGCACATTTTAAGGATATGCAATCATTTTGTTGAAGCCCGGTTTAATATTTTGGTGAATGTGCTGCATCTTGGTTGTGAAATGTTAGTTTCATGGCACAGTCATGTCTCCAGGCAGAGACATCAAGTTTAACAGTTCCTGTTTAATCCGGTTGCCTTTTCTGTCTTGCAGGTGGCAACTCAAGAACCGCGATGGTGGCCGCTCTGAGTCCGGCAGACATCAACTACGATGAAACTTTAAGCACTTTAAGGTACTGACAGACCGACCTGAGGTGGCGAAAGGGAGGCGGCCTGTTCAGTGGGAAGTGTAGCTCAGAGGGTGGCTATTTATTTTGGGCTTAAGAAATTTTTTCAAGTCTTTCCCTCTCCTTTCACTGGCATTTGAAAGCACAGGAGCAGATTCACATGCCACAAAAATGTGCAAAATTCTTTCCAAATCAAGTTCTCAGTGAGCCGTTTGCTCCAGTCATCTGATTGGTACTGACTTCCAGACAACTACCACACCAGTGGTTGCATGTATTGTGTTTCCCCGAAAATAAGACACTGTCTTATTTTTTTTGGCTCACAAAAACACGCTAGGTCTTATTTTCGGGGTAGGTCTTCTTATTTTATTTTTTAATGTATACAACAATCCACACTTATTCATGTACAACAGCAGGAATACATGTACATTTGGTACATTTGGTATCACTCCGCCTATGACAGGAGCCGGCGCTATAGAGGAAGCATCGGCTTATGCGGCTCTGCTCCCTCCGCACGGAGCGCAGGGAGCAGAGCTACATAAGCGTGTTTCCTCCACACAGTGCATTAAGTTAAAGTTAAGTTAAAAAATAAAGTTTAAAAAGGCTCTTTATGTTCCCCACTGGCCCTGGGAATAAACACAGCAAGGTCTTATTTTTGGGGTAGGTCTTATATTTTAGCAAGCACCAAAAATAGTACTAGATCTTATTTTTGGGATAGGGCTTGTTTTCGGGGAAACACGGTAGCTTCAGGCTGCTGCTTAAAGATGTCATTGCTCTTTCTTGGACACTGGCTCTCTGTGTGTGAGTTTAATTACAAGCAAGCTAACCCCCCCTGCACATCATGTGGGGGTGAAGGGACAACATGGGGGTGGGCAACTTAAGGGGAATACACATTGTCCACCTGGCTACCAGAAGAAAAGGATCTGGTTCACTTGCTCTGGAAATGCATGTGGTGTCTAGATTGGAGGTCTGGTCCCTTGAGTCCCTTACAGGTAGAGGGAACTCCTCTTTAAACTTATTTAAAACTTTAACCTCAGCTTTATTAACTGGGCACTTGAAGGGACAGTGCTAGAAATGCTAAAATGTACTAACTCGCACTCATTCTCCCTTCTTGTGGCACGTGAGTTGTGCTAGGGGAATGACTGGAAAGAAAATCAAAGGCTGGTATCCGTGTCTTGTTTTGTCCTGAAATTAAGGAATCTTGAGCCTGAAAATTTCTTCGGGAGCGGCTCTGCAGAAATTCTTGGAATGTAATTCAGTTTATTTTGACTGCAGTCCCATGCGTGTTTAGATAGAAACAAGCCCTAGAACAACAAGCATCCCCCTTGGCAGAATTCAAAATCAGAGCACTGCAAACCAAGATGTAGAAAAGGGTGGCCCAGATGATCAAAGGACTGGAGCAGCTCCTCTATCAAGAAAGGTTACGAAGTGTGGAACTGTTTAGCTTAATAAAAAGGCTGAGTGAGAGGAGACAGGAGAGCCGTGTCTGAACTTATGAATGGTGTGCAGAAAATGGAGAGGGAGGGTGTTGCTCTCCCTCTCTCAATGGGATCATCCTGTGAAATTGAATGGTGGGAGATTCTGGATTTTTGGCGGCCAACCAGTTGGCTTCTGTGGGACTGAAATTCTGGACTAAACCAGTCTTTGGTCTGGTCTCGGTGTCGCTTTTATCTTCTTAATATCATTATGGCCGCAAACTGCTCCTCTGTATTCTTACAACTGTTTGTCCTTTGTGCCAGGCTGCAGTTGATAAGCGCAGTTGGCCTGCAAGTCTAAAGTCTGCCCACTCCCGCTCCCTGTTTCTTGTCCATTGACCAGTAGCGATGTGTCCACGCATCCAGACCTGCTGCGCCAAGCAGCCAAGGGCAGGCAGTTTTGGAAGAGCATTCCTTCCTAGGGGTTGCCCCAAGTCAGAGGTGACCTGATGCCATGTAGCCTCCCCACCACGGCATGTATGCTAAAGCCGTCTGCTGTTGGATCCTCTAGATATGCTGATCGGGCCAAGCAGATCAAATGCAACGCGGTGATCAATGAGGATCCCAATGCCAAGCTGGTGCGGGAACTGAAGGAGGAAGTCACCCGGCTCAAGGACCTCCTCCGGGCTCAAGGGCTTGGCGACATTATTGACAGTAAGTGGATTAAACGGCTTTGAGGTGTAGCCTTGCTGAGGAAGAGAAATATCTTAAGAATGCAGGCACTTGGGCAGATTGGAGGGCATGCGTGTGCTAGACAGGGTGGGATAGGAGTGGATTTGACCAGGGTTCAATGGAGACAGTAGTTTGGAAGTGCAATGTTAGAGAAAGTTTGGGTTATGCATCTTTTCCAGGGAATGTTGCAGCTCCCAGAAAATGGATCCCACTGTAGGCTTTGAGCAGAAGCCGTGCCAATCCAAGCAGTCATTTCTTCCATCACACCTTTCCCTCAGGTTCTCTGTCTTGGCAGTATCTTCTTGCTGGCAGTTTCACTGTGCATTTGCCTACACGTTTTTCCACTTCAGTGTTCCTACCAACAAACAAAATACAGATTCAATTTGCATTGCCCCAAACCCCTTCAGATATGTTGGACTACATCTTCCATAATTCCCCGCTCGTACCAGCTGACTCAGCTGGGAAGACTTGCTCCAGTTGCTGGAAAGCTTGGATTATCTTGGCACAGAGCAGAGAATCGGGGCTTCAGCCTTTTTCTCAAGTCCTTTCCCCCTGCTTAGTGCCACCTGCCCACAGAACACTGCTTTTCTCCAACACTGCACTTCCTAAAAAAACAAGCCTCCACGAGGCCTCATGCAACCCAGCCTTTTGTCTCTGGAGGTGAAATATTGCTAGAGGCCGGAGATTCATGGGGTGCCTTCTCCATCGTTCCATGGCGGAAAGAAAAATGCTCAGTTGGTTTTTAGGACATGGATCTTGAAGCACTCCACTGAGCATTTGGTCAACCTCATTATATATTTATTAATTGTGTGTGTGTGTGTGTGTGTGTGTATCCAGCCTTTCTGTCAAAAATGACACTCAGGGTAGCATCCCTCCCTTCCTGCAGTGCTGGACAGGTGCAGAGGGGGGAGCTTGCAATACTATGGAGAATCATAGGGAGCCTCCTCTCCTGCTGCCGAGCGGTACCCAAATTGCAAAGCCTGCCACCTGCTCAGCCAGCCTTCTCCAGCCTCGTGCTCCCAGGTGTTTCGGACTACAATTCTCATCCCAACAATTGACCATGCAGGCCAGAGTGGTGGGAGTTGGAGTCCACAACTGGAGGTCACCTGCTGCAGGGGTCTGTGCTAAGAGTATGAATTCCAACTCAGTGTCACGGTGGGTGCCCTTCTGCAGCTGCCGCTTCGCTGCCCTGCTCTCATGCGAATGTCGCTCATCGACATTCGCTCATTGGTGCTGCTGGCCCGCCAGAAATGCATCATCGATGGAGAAACGTGGACGTTCCTCTCTCATACTCCCGTTGCTCACACGTTAGTGGAGCACTGTGGGTTTCGGCCGTGGCTCCTGGCCACCCTGCTGCACGAGGAGTGCAAGCATTTGCACTTGGAATGGCAGCAGGGGGCCATTTTATGCTGTTTCTGGACCACCTGTAAACTTCCTGCTGTGCCATTTGTGGTGGGATCGGGTGGGTTGGGCAGTGGGAGAAGCTTCATCTTTCTCTCTTGGCAACTCTTTGAGATGCTCCAGATTTAAGAATGAGTGCTGAATGTGTTGTATTGTGACACTTGCTTGTCTGCCAAAGGACATTCCTGGCCTAATCGCCATTAAAAAGGGCACAATTTGTATGCGCGGAGTGTCTTTGCTCTAAAGAAAAAAGAACAACACACCCTGCCTGAATGTGAAACAAGCAGCATCTGATGTTCAGCCCCAAAAAGTAGAATTTTTCCCTTTATCGAGGCAAACGACGTAAAGTGTTTGTTGTACAATCAAATCTGGTGTTTATCCTGTGCAAAGGTTTTTCTTCCCTTTTCCTGTGTCAACTATTGTTCCTGAATATTTTTTACCCTTCTTGTATCTTCCCTCCTAACTTCCTCCTTCAGTCGATCCATTGGACGATTTCTCTGGAAGTGGAGGCAAATGTGTGTATTGTGTAATTAGTCATTTCTCTAACTGTGGCTTTTTGCTGGGGCAGCTTTGGAAGAGCTTTACATGTCATTTCCTTGCAGAAGAAATCCAAGACAGACCCAACCCCTGCTTTTCTGTTAAAAAGTACAGAAAGCTCGTTCTTTCAAGCTGACTTTTGCCAAAATACAAAATGTAAAGCTCTCATAAAGGAGGGGAATACAGTGTGGTTCTCAGCAGGATGAGAACAAGGACTGTTATTTTAAATTCCACTTGGCTTTCGGCTGCCGGTATTTGAAACTGTAAATTTGTCAAAAATTGTCACCAGAGCAACAAATTAAGGGAAGCAGTGGTGTGTTGGGCAGGGCAGTGGGGGTTAAAGGAAAAAGACAAACAACTGAAAAAGAAAAAGTTTAATGGTGCCTTTTTGTTAGTTTTAAACATTGGGTGCCCTGGCAGCCGTCTGCTTGGGCTGGAAATCTAGGTTTAATGTTTCTTCATATTCCAGTTGTTTTGTTCTACTATAGCTTGGTGGAGCTGTGTTTCCCTCCCCGCACAGCACCACTGAAAAAAGTTTCTCAAAAATGTAAGGAAACTAGCAATTATGAAGTAATAGGATTGGAAAATTTCATGCAGCAAGGCAACATTTATGCCCTGAATCTAAACTGGTATTCCTCATGGAAGGAGATCTTCTTGTTTTAACCTTCAAAAACATGTTAAAACGTGACGAGGTTTTTCTGAAAACCCAAGGGCAGGTTCTTGGTAGCCATCTGGATATCTGCTGGAATTCCCTCCAAAGCAGGGAGCTGTCAGGATTCTGGGTGGATGTGGCAGCTATCAGCCATGCCAGGAAACACACAAACTCAGGGACGATTTACTAGCCCCTCTGAAATTTATGTTCTGTGAACACCTCTGCATTAAAATTCGCAGGCAGGATTGAATGCATGCTGTTTTGGTGGAGAGTCAGGGTGGTGTAGTGCCCTAGACCGTTGGATGGGGACCTTAGAGATTCACTTCCTAGTCCCACTCAGCCGTGCAGCTTATTGAGTGACTTTGGGCCAGACACTGATCCTTCGCCTCACCTACATCGCAGGGTTGTTGTGAGGCTAACATAGAAGAGGAGGGTGATCGTGTTCTCTGCCTTAGATTCCTTGCAAGTGTTTTAAAAAAGGCAGGATGAAAATGTAGGGGCTTTTTCATTAAAACATACACAAGTCCCCTGTCCTTATGGTTGTAAAGATTTGCACTGGCTGCTTATATTCAGAAGGCAAAGGGGTGATTGAATAAAACTGGGAGTATGTCTTTGGTACTATTCTAACTCCGTACTCCCCCCGCCCATAATTTGCAAAACCAGATTATTTTATAGAATAAAGTATGTAAATGTATTTAATTTACAGCAGTCATTATGAGTACAGTATCTGGCTTGCCTGGCAGAGATTTTTTTTAAAATGAACAATATTTATATGCCATTTCTCATTTGAAAGAAATCCTGAAGTTGTTCAGAAAAGAATAAAACAGATAATCAAAAATAGTCTTCCACTTGTGATATACTGGAAACCTGGAAGGGTGCAGCCAGGCAAACCTGGAAGGAGATGAGAGTGCCTTGGTTATTAATAGCACTTGGATTTCTTTGTTTGTTGCAAGTGGCCTACAGCCACAGTACAAACTCAGGTATCTAATACAAATACAGCATCAAGCACTACAGCTGCAGAACAGAAAGCAGCAGAGCTGGCATAAAATAGCTTCCCACACCTGGATATTTCTTTCTTTCATCTACAAGTATCTCTAAACTGCTTATAGCTATAGATTTCAAAGCAGTGTACCCAACCCATTAAAAAAAAGCTATATATCGGGAAAGTGAAGAGAATGGAATTCACCTAATGCTTAAGGGCCAGAAAGATGGTGTCAAGTTGACATGCGTGAAACGTAAAATGGACATCACTTTGGAAATAGTGTCTCTTCTTTTTTACAGGGTGTGACTTGTGGGACCTGAGTAGGCTCAGGCAGGTGCAATAAGACCAGTTTGCTCCAGTATTCAGGGGATGGGGGCATGGTGGGCTTGGCCAATAGGTTGGTCTCATCCGTTAGCCCTGCTCACCCAAAGTGAAAGACCCTTAAGGGTACCAGAGAGGTCTGTCTGGCATTTCCTCGAACTTTGGCAGTGTAAAGTTTTCCTTGTCTGGTTCTCGCTTCTGTCTTTTCCTCCCTCGTTTACTTTTGATGCTGCTTCCAGCTTGAAGGCTTTTGACTCTGACTTGAACATGAGCAGCTGCAGCATCTTGGCAGGAGAAACGTGCATGGGGCAAGGGAGCGGAGCTCAGTCGCACATCCGGCCTTCTCTTCGGGGAGCGCATGAGATTTCCCTGGGATGTCTGATCAACCCTCGTCCTTGCACTGCCTCCTTGACGCATCTCTCATTGCCTAATTTCGCTCCCTCCCAGCTCCACCCCGCCTGCTCTCTCCTGTATTTTGCAGATGGCAGTTTTTAAACCAACTTGAAACATAACTTTCCAGGCCCGTGAACAAGGACCGCATTGATAATGTCTCAGCCATTCAAAAGCTCAGCCCACGAAGGGAGGCGCGCATTGTTCAGTCTTCCTTGGTCAGGTGTCCTCCAGATGTGCGGATCTGTAACCAGTCCTAGATCCAGCCCTGGCTGCACCAGTGGCAGCCCAGCCTACTCCCTGCAGAATTCCAGCTCGGCTTGCTTGCAGAGATCAATGATATGTAGGATGGAGTTGGGGACGTCTCCTGCTTCGCATGTAGAAGGCCTCAGCACCCATCCCCAGCATCTCCAGGCAACAGAACGGTTGCAGGCGATGGGGAAAGCATTTTCTCTGCAGAAGAGCCCTTGCTAGGTGTGATAGATGCCCTCTCCATATTTCTGCTGCCCTGCAGATGTTTTGGGTGATAATTCCCAGCATTCCTGAGCACTGGCCTTGCTAGCAGGGGCTGATGGGAGTTGGATGCCCCTGGAGGGCACCAGGTTGAAGGGGACTGAAACACACATATAGGGCTGAGTAGACAAATTGTCTAGCCTGGTGCAAGACAGCTTCCCATGTTTCAGTGTTGCTGTCCACACAGATTCTTCCCAGCTTTAGTAGCACTTCCACTCGTGCCCAGACACCCTAGGTAACGCTACTCCTGATGTACTGAGGAGCAAATTGCGTTTCTTTAGGCCTTGGCACCAGACAGATGCTCAGAGAGTATCTTTAGTTCTAAAAAGTTTGCATCTGCTCCTGAAAGAGAAGGCATTTTATCATCTGCCCTTCAGAAAGTTCTTTGCTTTTGATGAGGACAACGTCGTAGATCAGTTGAGGTGCATGTGATATGAAACCATTCCACTTAAATATCACATCCTAAATGTTAAAATAAATTAACAGGGCTATGATTTTAAAAGTTCGGGAGTAAGGGAAGATCCAGAAAATAAGTGCAACATTACAAATATGCAGAGGAAACTTTTCAGTTTAGCCATACTGCTGAGAGGGTGGGTGGAGACTCCAGAGAGGCCTCATAGAGAACATTGCCCAGCTGTGGTGCCACAGTGCAAAAGGCCTTGCGGCTCCCAAGCAGTAATGAAGGCACCTTGTTCAGGCCCACACCAAATGCCCTTAATGTATGAGCAGAGCCCTTCTGAAGAAATTATGTTTCAGAACTGCCATCTGGTAGTAATAAACCAGTCTGTGTTGCTGCTTCGTGTGCTGTCCTCTTATACTGGTTTCTCCTTCCTGCCTTTCCTCCTTCCCTTTCTTTCCCTGCTCCTTTCTCCTTCGCCTTCCCTCTCCCCTGCCCCTCTATTTCTGCCTTCCCTCCTGTTTGTCTGTCTGTCTCTCTCCCAGATCTGAAAGATTTTCAGAACAATAAGCACAGATACTTGCTAGCCTCCGAGAATCAACGTCCTGGCCATTTTTCCACAGCGTCCATGGGCTCCCTCACGGCCTCTCCATCTTCCTGCTCTCTCAGTAGTCAGGTGGGCTTAACATCGGTTTCCAGCATCCAAGAACGGATCATGTCCACACCTGGAGGAGAGGAAGCCATCGAGCGTTTAAAGGTATGGAAACGTTTCAGGCGCCTTCCCCCGTCCCCATCCAGCATTCAAAACATGTAGCAGCCTTCCTCAGCCTGTTGCCTTCCAGATGTGTGGGGCTGTTGTTCTGCCGTCCTCTTGCTATCATGATCAGTGGAATAGTGCCTCTTGCCAGTGTGGGTTGTGCGCGGTGTGTTCATTTTAGCCAAGGAACTGAACGCCAAGCGTTCGGTTATCGCATTCTTACTCCAAGAAGCAGCAAACCACCAGTGAGGATCAAAGGAACACACACACACACACCACACATACACAAGGCGTCCCACGCTGGACCCCACATCCGACCAAAAACATACACAATCCCACCCTAGCAAAACACAGTCACAGCGCGTCAAAACAAACAGAGAATCCAGGCAAAACAAACACATTAACAGTGTGTTAGCCAGCCAGAGAGAGAGAGAGAGAACGCTTTGCCAAAATGCATGGGAAGCAATAAACCGATTAATTCAGCATAGTACTTGCAGGAGAGATCGAAATCGAGTTACCGAAATATCGTGAAGTGAAACCTACAACAGGGAACATCTGTGCAAGGCAGGCCATTGCCTGCACTTGCAGATTTTTCCGGCTCGCATTTGGGACGGGACCAGGGAGGCTGTCAGTAACACGAGACCCGGGTTGACGAGGCCCCAGCTCAGCTCTGTTTTGTGGCCTTTTGCCAGGTCGTTGTCTTGGTGGCCTTCTTGCGAAAGAGCGAGGCAACGGCATCCCCTGAATGCCAGGCTTCTTACAAGCTGCTTTCCTTGTAGAAGTTTGCGAGGGAAATGAGGGGGTCCTGAAATGGTAATGTGCAGCCTGGCCCAGGAGCACCGTGTTGGCTTTCGGGGCGGAGCCTCGAGACCTGTGCCCCACAGATCAAAATGTGGAGCGCACAAAATGCCCCTCTGTACACCGACAACAGAGGCCTTTGTCCCGACTCTCTGCGTTCAAATGGCGTCAGAAAGGCACAACAGTGGAAGCCTTTATCTTTTGGCCCGGCCAGGCCTCCCCCATGCTGGGGCTTGCGATGCAGTGGGCTGGTGACGCGGTGCCTTTAAATGCTTCCTTTTCATCCTCTGTCTTCCCCCCCCCCCCACCACCCAGTTTGAAAGGGACCGTAGCTCAGCGGTAGAGCAGCTCTTCTGCATGCAGAAGGTTAGATCCTCGGTGTCGGAGGAGGGAAGGAATTCTGCTGGAAGTGGAGCAGAGCGGCTGCCAGCCCGTGCTGGGGCAGATGGACCCGTGGACTGGTGCCCATGCTGTCCCTACACACTGTGGCAGCGGCACGGAATGTCATCCTCTGAACAGATACAGACACAAAGCCCATGTCTGGCCTTGGGTGTCAAGTCTGCCTCTTTCATCAGCATGCTGGGCCACCGCCCCAGGACTGAGGGAGAGGATGGGAGGGGGGCAGGGAGAGGCAGGGAGCGGTTCAGCAAAGTAGCATTTCCTGGCAAATGAGCAGTCGCTGGCACCGTGCTCTTTAAAGTGCCGGTAAAACGGCAAGCGCATGGCGTTGTGGCAGTGAGCGGCAGTTTCAGCAGCAAGAGTGCGTTTTCTGCAGAAATGGCTCCCTTGTTAAAGCGGCTTCCTCCCATCCCTCTTTATCTCCTGGTCCTGTGCTTTGGCCCTCGTTGCCTGCCTCCCGTGCCTCTGCTTTCGAAACAGCAAAAGAAACAGCTCCATCGGTCAGTTCAACAGGAAAAAGACAGGGATCTGATCCACGGTTGGCAGAAAGGGAGTGGGGCCCTTTGGGGATTCCCAGTCGTCCTGTACTGGTTTCGTGCCTTGGGACTCTTCGGCTGCTGGAGTGACGGAGGACATCAGCCTGATTCAGATGAGGGGAAAAGCAGGCCCATGCTAGGGTCTGTTGTGCCAGATGTGGAGCTGAACAGGTCAGGAGGGAGAGAGCCGTCGGGGTGCTGGGACACGCTGCACGCTGTCTCTTGTGTCGGAGGGAATTGATTAAAGCAGGCAGTCAGAAGAGCGGTTTTGGATCAAACCGGAGGCCCATCTCATCCAGCGTTCTGTTTGCCCAGTGGCCCGCCAGCTCTGGGGGAAGCCTGCCTGTAGGCATGACTGCAGCAGGACCCTCACACCCATTCTCAAAACAGCCTCCAGGACTGGCAGCCGCAGTTAGCTTTCTCCTCCACGAATTTGTCTAATCCGCTTGGCAAGCTACCCGAATAGGCGACCATCACTCCATCTTGTGGGAGCAAACGTAATAGTTTAACGTATGAAAACGTTATTGTATGAAAACGTCCCTAACCCTTAATTTCCTGCCCTGGGATCGGCTCTATCACATATATTAGGTGCCCTGTTTGTCCCTCGTTGCCAGGGTCCTGTTGTTTAGGGGAGGCTTGTCATGGGAAAAGGCCACTGTGCTCTTTCTCCCGAGCCAGTCAGTATTTTGTGAGGGGCCGTGTGTGCGTGCATGCGCACCCCTGCAGTCTGAAATGGGCCCCAAGGCTCCGCTTCCTGGGCGCATGGCTCCTTGCCTGGCAAGTTCTTTTGGACCTTTTAGCCTCTTGCTACTTAGAATGGACGGTACCACTTCAGAGGTGTCAGGGGTGTTTATGTGTGAGTGAGTTTGTGTGGGACAGTGCTTTTCTAGGTTTTCTTTTAAACCTCTTTGCAAAGCCAAGCCGGTCTCTATGTTCACTTGGGCCACTACCTGTCATTTGCTGTTATGCTCCTACTTCGCTGCTGCTTCTTCTTTTTTTAAAATGTTTGGTTTACCAGAAAATGCTTTAATTCAAGGAAGCTGATGAGTAATGGGAGTCAGGGCATTGCCCTAATCATCACACTAATCCTCTTTTGGGCTCTCTTGCAGGAGTCAGAGAAAATCATTGCGGAGCTGAATGAAACCTGGGAGGAGAAACTGCGGAAGACAGAGGCTATTAGGATGGAGAGGTCAGTCACTCCCTCTTGCAAATAATTGTGGTGGGATTGTGGTCTAGAGGGCACTAGCTTGGGGAGTGGTAGCGTCTATTGTGCGACCCAGACTTGGAGCAGTGTTCTGGCTGGTTCTTACTGACCATTAGCTTCTGAAAGTAGAGGGGAAAGGGCAGTTTAAAAAAAGAAGGCCAGGTGGGCAGCAGGAAGAAGGTTGGTAGAAAAGGAATTGGAGGCCAGATCTGATTGCTGCAAGGTAAGCCCTGACAGAAGGTGGGATGGGGGATTTGCAACAGGCAGAGTGGAAGTGTTGAAAGTGGTTGGAAGTACAGCATAGGAGGAGGCGTTGTAGGAATCGGTGCATGGCTGTGCCTCGAATGACAGAAGAGTGAAAGGACTGTGGAGTTTCTGAAAGCAAGATTAAAAAGCAAAGAATGAAATTAAAATAATAAGTCATCGAAGAGAGAAGCCTTGGATGTTATGAATGGAAGTGGGAAGGTCTCTCTGGAGAGCAAGAGAAATCTCAAAAACTAGCAGTGATACATTCCCAGATAGTTCTGCCATAATATAAAGCTGGCCTTAAAACTGCTTTGATCTCTGGCACGGCTTTGCCTATTCACCTTCTCCTGATAAAGAGAAGAACTTAGATCAAAAGTGTCTCTCTAACAAGGATCAAAATATTTCATTAGGCTTATCCGTCAGGATGGCTGTCTTTTTTAAATGGTTGATTACCACTGCATTTTGCTATTATCTGCTCCAAGAGATGCATTAAATAGCCTCATGCCCAGTTTGGAAGGTGAATTTTTCACGTATTTTGGTGATTCCTAATCTATGTCGTCTTCCTGTTTCACAGAGAGGCTTTGCTTGCTGAGATGGGAGTTGCCATTCGAGAAGACGGAGGAACCCTTGGTGTCTTCTCACCGAAAAAGGTATGTGATGCTGTTGAATTCTTCCGTTCTTTCTTCCTGTTCTTTCAACCCCCGACACGTCCCCATCCAGCCACGGGTTTTCTGGGATGGTTTGGATCCAAAGAAGAGAATGATGATGGCTGCTCACGTTGTTCTGCGAACCTTTGCAGAACAACGTTTATGCAGGTCTTTTCCTTGGCAGGCACCTGGTCACCTACAGTGTGAGCAGAATGCAAGAAGGCCGTCTGGTCTGATCTAGCAGAGCTCTTTCCATGTTCTCCTTGCACTTCGGCCTGGGCACGAGCTCGTGCAGCTGGAGCAAGGGTCTCCTGCAGCCTTTCTCATGTAATGGCAAAGGCTCCTTCCTTGTGCAGAAGGGCACTTTCTGGATCCAGCTGATGGCGATGATTCCGTGCAAAGTTCTCTTGCTCTCCTCACACTTTCTAGAAAGAGACGTAAATCTGATAGCAGTCATATGAGGGAAAACTAAAACAGGGCTGGGGTGAGGCGACTTGTGTTCCTCCACCCATGTTGACCCACAACTCCCGTCAGCCCTTGCCAGCATAACCAACGGTGAGGGACTTACAGGACAAAATATTTGGAGGGTGCCAAGTGGAAGAGGGTTGCTGGGTGGTAATGGATCTGTTGGGGGATTAGAGCTCTGTGTCTGCAGAAAATCTGGCTGATAATTATTTGGCATAGTCCAAATATCCCAGCATGGAAACTGTAGCTGGAAATGCTGCCCGCAGACACAGAGCGCGGACCCAAATGGTTGGCTCAGCTAGATGGCCCTTGACGCGCCTTTCACGAGCAATTGGGACCATCCCATAAATCAGCCTCCCCTGACCTGGTGCCCTGCAGATGTTTGGGACCTCGCCTCACAGCTGGCTATGGCAGCCGGGACTCATGGGAGCCAAAGTTCAGAACATGTGGTGGGCACCCAGTTGGAGAAGGTGGCAGTACGTTTACCTGCACGTGTATTCAGCTTAATAATGTATTCAGTGAACACCACTGGGGAGAACGGAAGATTCTCTGATGGAAAACCATTGTAGTCAACATCCCCAAGACATCTTGGTGGCTGTTATTGCAGCCATTTATTTCTTGCAGCGGGCTTGGAGGGTGAGTTATGCCAAGGCCCCCTTTGAGCCCTTTGGGTAGAACGTTACTTCTAGGCATGTCTTGCTTGGCTGGACATCTTGAACCGCTGAGTTCAGGTCCCTCGTGTCCAGCTGGGAGGACAGCTACGAGTGTAGAATGTGCGGAGGGTCGTGGAGGGCGAGACCTGGATGATGGGTTATGAGGACTCTTCAGGAACAGTTTTATGGACAAGTCACGGAGCAAGTGGCTGAAGCAAACCAGTTTTTGCCGCTTGACTTGCTTGCTTCCACTTCTGACTCAGTGACTGGGGTTAACACATGATCACAAGGCCAAACTGTAGAGGAGGCTGCGGTCAGATACTGTGCTGGGGCCCCAGGACAGGCAGAGCAACCAACATTTCCATCCTTCCTCATCTTCTGGAGCACCCAATAAGATGGAAGGTGGCGCTGGAGAATTCTTGGTTTGCATGCTTTGCCTTGGTTGAAGCAGCCTTCTTGCCATAGCCTCTGAAATCTGGACTCTGTCGCTACTTGTCACGCTGGCATTTTGCTCGTCCACCTCCAAAAGTGCTTTTTGCTTCACCTCCTGTTTCTTTCACCTTCTGGGTTCTTTCCACGTAGATCTTCCCCCGGAGGCCATCAACTCTGTTTGATGACTCTTTCGATATATTTGCTGTTGACCAGGTTTGTTTGTGTGTGTGTGGGCTGAAATAGACACTTACGTAGACATTGCTACCTGTGGAATTACAAGATAGGAATCCACCCATCTCCTCCTTGCCTGATTAAGTGTATCCATCCTGATAGACTCGTTGCCTCTGTTCCTTTTAGTTCTGGTAACTTCATTTTATGCTGTGTAATGGCAGCTTGTAGCAATGAATGAATGTTAGAACCTTAGTTAACAAGCTAGATTTAGTGGTACGAATCTTGGGTGTTGATGTCCAGCTCTCTTCTCTTGGTCATTTTGTTCTGACATTTTCTTTTTCCTCTTACCTGTTCTTGCTGGCATTCCATTGGCTAGATTTTCACTCCAAGGCCATGTGACTTGTTTGCTGATTCCAATGGGGTATTTTCGCCAAAGAAGGTTGGTTTAGTTGCTCTAGGTTCTGATCAGAGTGTTCAGTACGAGCCAATAGCCACGATTCAGCCTAGCCTGGATTTTTTTCTTTTAGGACTTGGAAGTAGAACTTACAAGAATGCCAACTTAGGCACAATGAAAGCTTCTGGATTGTTTTTCCAGTGTGCATCATAGATCCTGTTGAGAAACTCCTTTCCTGATTCTTTGCCTGGATCAGTTAACCCTGGGGGGTTTTGGTTACTGAGTAGATCTTCAGCAATAGAAGTGGTGCTGGCCTGGCTTCTGCAGTTTCTCAGTCACTGCAACCACCAGCCATCTCTCCCTTCTCGGTCATTTGAAATAGCAAATTCTGGCTCGTGCAGGAAGAACCCAAGCCTTGGCCAGGAGCTGGTGCGCCAAGGAGATGCTCGCAAGGACCTGATTCCCCCACCCCCACCCAGTATCTGCAAATTACCCAAGCCCCTATTTAGTAATTAGACTGGGAGAAACGAGTGCAGTTTAGCTGTTGAGTCAGTGAAAGGGGGGAGCAACTTCCATGGGTTGCCCTTGGAAACCAGAGTGGGTCATACCCTGCTGAGCATACATTGTCGTAAACCAGGTTGCAAAATCAGCTTGAGGGACAGCCACATGGGGCCTGTGGGCCATGTTCTGCCCACCCTGGAGCATCAATTTTGCCAGTTCTTGACCGACAGGCAGTTCCATAGTTCTTTGTGTAATCTGCAGCCCTTTCTGTCCGGCAGTAGTTTCCGTTGATTGAATAAAGGAGAGGTTTTCTGTAGGGACAGTTAAACCAGAGTTGCATTTGGAGCAGTCGGGACCTCTTTCAAGGTGTGGTGCTGGGGCAAGCGAGGCACGGATTAAGGCTGTGCAATTCTCATTTCAGACACCTCATCTGGTCAACCTCAACGAAGATCCGCTCATGTCAGAGTGCCTCCTTTACTACATCAAAGATGGCATAACAAGGTAAGTAGACACACTGCTGTGGAAGGGTGCGAGGCACTTGTGGCCCTACAACTGTTTAGGCCTAAGCTCCTGTCAGCCCTCTCCATTGACAGGCCGGGACCTGTGCAGGTTGCGGGCCACAAATCGCCCACCGCTGCTGTAGAGGGCTGCCTTCTATTAGTGGCACCTTCCCCACTTTCTCCTCCAAAGCCAAGCCTGTTGTATGAAGTCTTGGCCACCCGGCCAAACAGGCACTTAATAACAGGCACTTGCTGACATGCATGGAGTCAGCTCTCACTGTTAGAGCTGGAGTTGTGGGAGAGTTTTTCCATATATGAATTGCCAAGGCAGGGCGGTTGTGTTAGCCAGGCATTTTCCTCTGAGGGCTTGAATGATGGCGGTGGGGAACACATTGCCATTCTGAATCACCTGGAATGCCATATTCAGCTTTGGTTTGCAAACATGGTGAGAGAAGATGCAGGAAAGGGACAGTTTCAAAGTTAAAAGCTTTAGTTATTGACTAATGTTAAAAGTTTGAAAAAAATAGGATGGTCTTAGCCTGTTGTCTAAATGATGGTGCTGGTGATTCCTGTGCATTTCCTTGGGGTGGGGAAGCCCCTTCCTCCAGCAACCACCTAAACTCTGAAGGCAGGAGAACCCAGAAAATGATTTTGACAGATAGGTGTCTTTGTATGGGAGGAGCCTGGCCTTTAACGTGGCCCTTGGAAATACGTGCCTGCACCGAGCTCTAGTCTATGATGCATAGGAACCTATCATTATATATTGTGTGCATGGATTCTAAACCCAGTGTCTGCTTTTAGACATCACATGAAACAATGATTTAGCAAGATATAAACTATGTGGAGTGGCATCCATGCAATTCACTGTTAGTTTTAGAGTCTGAATTCCAGCAGCTACAAAAAGAACATGTGGGGCCACGTGTTGCCTGCTCTGCGCCTACTTTCTGCAACATGTATTGTTTTGTATTTCAGTGTGTTTCTATTATAAAAATGTGAATAAACACTTTTAAAAGCTAGCTTTCTCTCAGACTTGCACACTTTCTTCTCCCCTCCTTCCCTCTCCTTCTGGACATTCAGACAGAGGATTTAGGAAGCACTGCTTCCAGTTTGGATTAACCATGGTTTGTTGTGTTGTCTGAATCTGGAACTGTGATTAATATTAACTGTGGTTTGTTGAAAATGCATCAACTTCAAACTGTGGATTCTGAGGCTGGCTGGTTTTGTTTATAAATTTTATTTGCAACGATAACAGAAAAAATGGAGAAAGCAGAAATGATAATGAAAGGACCAGAGTACATGACAGAGAAGGAAACCATTTTGTAGCACTTGGTTGCTCTAAAAGTCATTTGTAGGCTCAGAGTGGCTGCTTCAGTGCTAAAGGTGCCACCTTCCCGAAGTGCCAAAGCGGCAGACATGGAGCATGCATGGGTTGTGGACCGTATGTTGTCCACAGCTGCTGTCAACTGGGTGTGTTCCTTGGTGCCAGTATCAATTTGTTCACGATCCGTGTATTTGGTCTTAAAAGCTATAGAGAATTCTCTTTGTTGGACGTAGGGTCGGCCAGGCAGATGCTGAACGGCGTCAAGACATTGTGCTGAGCGGGGCCCACATCAAAGAGGAGCACTGCGTTTTCCGAAGCGAGAGGAACCACAATGGCGATGGTGAGGATGCTGGGCTTGCTTACTGGGTTAAGTAGCTCAGACTTTTTGTTCTCTGGGATTCCCTGTATCGATACTTTCCATTTGTCACCAGCTTCTTAGAGATAAGCAAAATTTACCTTCGACCAGCTCAGGCTTCCCCAGCCTGGGGCCTTCTAGACGTGTTAGGCTGCAACTCCCAGAGTCCCCCACCCGGCATGGTTGGCTGGGAGATGCTGACAATGGTAGCCCAGTGCATGTGGGGGATTGCCTGGCAAGGAAAGATGGGGCTAGCTACATTCTGGCCTCCTCTGATGATGCGGCTTTGCCTCTTAGCTCCATTCCAAGTTGGACATTGCTCGTGGGCCTGAGGGAGGCTTCTGCTGATCTGGAAACTGGGCACTTGCAGTCTGTGATGTTCGCGTTTGTTATTTAATGCACATCTGTCCAGTTTCTGTCTCCTGAAGCGGCGCATAACAGTGGAAAAGAGAGAAACGGGCCTTGCTATCAGGCTATCAGACGCTAAAATGGCAGGGCATGCAAAGGAAAGGGGAGCGGAGGGAAGAGGAGGGGAAATTGGCTTTTCGAGGCCATAAATTGGAGGCCGTGTCTCTTGGGATATGAGTAGCTGGGAACACAAATAGGAGGGCACTGTTGCCCTCCTGTTCCACTCGCGGGATCAGAATGCTGGACTGAACTGGTCTGACCCAGCAGGACTTTTCTCTATGTCAGCCTTCCCTGTTCAGATAAACTCTCTAGATGTTTTGGACTCCCAGTTCCCATCTGCCCCAGCCAATATGACCAGTGGTCAGGAATGCTGGGTGTTGTGGCCCAAGATAGGGAGTGGGGAGTAGGTTGGGAGAGGTTGTGCAATGTCTCCTAAGTGGTACCCGGAAGCTCAGAGGTTGTCTTTGACTTCTCCCACTTTAGCTGCATGAATACTTTTTGCTTGCTTTCCAGTTATCGTGACGCTGGAACCTTGTGAGCGGTCGGAAACCTATGTCAATGGCAAGAGGGTGGTGCAACCTGTCCAGCTACGCTCAGGTAAAATGTTGGGATTTAGATTTCTCTGCTAGAAGCTGCAGTGTTTGGGAGAGGACCGTGTGGCTTCAGCTCCACTTCTTTGTCCATCTAGCCCTGTGTCCTTTTGCCCTCGCTGGCAGTGGCAATTTGGGGTCTCTTTCACGTCACTTGCTGTTTCATCGTTTTCGAAACTGGAGCTTCTGGGAATTGGATTTGGGGCCCTCTGTATGCAAAGCAAGCGCTCTGCCACTGAGCTGTGAGCCCTTCCCGTATGCCCGTCTCTTTTCCTTGGTTAGAATTTTATGGGTTCCGGTTTTTGATTGTCCTTGAGCGTTCACTGCCTGAGGATGACATGGTTCAGTTCCTACTTGTTAAAAGCCCCTTCGTCACAATCCTTTTGTTTTTATGGCCTTTCCAGGAAATCGCATTATTATGGGCAAAAATCACGTGTTCCGTTTCAATCATCCTGAGCAAGCACGGGCTGAACGGGAGAAGACTCCCTCAGCAGAAACTCCCTCTGAACCAGTAGACTGGACATTTGCTCAGAGAGAACTGCTGGAGAAACAAGGAATTGATATGAAGCAAGAGATGGAGAAAAGGTAATGAAAATACGTGTAGTGCTGAATGGAGAGATTCTGTCTGCTCGTAATTGTTTGAGTATCTAGTCCATATTGTTGATTATTGTATGGCGTCTGTTCCAGCCTGCCTTGGTCCAACAGGCTCTGATATGTTGGCCTGCAGCACCCATCATCCCCAGCAAGTGGAGCTGCTGTTTGGGAACCGTAATCCAGCAGAGATGGCTAGCTTGGGGAAGGGTGCTGTACTGCATACTCCATTTCCTCTTGTACACTCTGCTTGACATTGTGCAGCCTCATCCCTTAAATCGATTAAAGACGAATAGGTAAATTCTGAATATTTTAGTAGGAGTGTTGAGTGGTCCGCGCACAACACCTCTTTTGGCGAGGCCGCATGGCAGTTTCAGAAGGTTAACCCCTTTGTAGAGTGAGAAGGCTTTTCAGGTTGTTTTCCTGCCTGCACGGGGAAGGATTTTGCACCGTCAAGAGATGCAGGCTTCTTCTCGAAACGGAGCTTGAGTCGTGTTACGTACAGGACTCTAGTTTCTCTTCAGAATTTGTCGCATTCTCCTCACCTGTGATCGCTTGTCCGATCTCTTTCTGCAACAAGAAAGAACAGGTGGAAGATTAGAATCTAGCGGTGATTTGCATTCAGCCTCCAAGGGCCTCAACTCAAGGAAAATTGCAAGGCAAAACAACATGGCTGCTTTTCTGTAAATTGCTTATACTTTTAGCCTCTGTCTTTCTCCTGTGTAGAGGAAAAGAGCTGCCAAGTTGCTTCTAGCCAACTCTGTGTTAAGCTCTATTTCTACTGGGCAGAATTTAAGAATTCCTGATCTTGGGTAACTCATGTGAAAATATTTGGTCAGGGAATGCTTCATGGCATATAGTAGATAATAGATTTCTGGCTGGTGGCAAATTGACTTTAAGACTTTGAGCCCATCTGCTCTGCCCACCTACAGTTTCATCACTTTTCCAAGATGGTTACCACTTTTACAGTGTTGAAACAAATCCATCTCCCCTTGCATATTTCTCCCAGAAGGGAGAAGCTGTTCTAAATAGAATCTCTCCTCCTATAAGTGGAAATGATTAGTTTTGTGGGGAAATCCTTTGTGGGGGGAAGCAAGATGGGAAGGTGCAGCCACGGATCTCACCCTGATTACTAGGTAAGTGGTGACCTGCACAACTGACCTTGGCTTCTTTTCTCAGACTTCAGGAGATGGAGATCCTGTACAAGAAAGAAAAGGAAGAAGCGGACCTTTTACTGGAGCAGCAGAGACTGGTAGGTGTTGACATTTATGAGCTTTCTGCAAAAACGTGATATGCTGACCTTCCTGATCCTCGCAGACAGGAGAGGCAACTCAGATTCTTACCTCCCACTCTGAACTGTCCCTTCTTTCTATGCTACTTTGTCTTTAAATTTGACCGCCTGGAGGGCACCTGAAGTATGGAAACCTTGCCCTTGAGTTGCTGTTGCCCCTGTGTAAAGATGGTGCCAATGCCCTGGGTCTTTAAAAGGAAGGCTTGTGTGTTGCATTGTCACCCCACCTCCCCGGAGTTGCTTTCTGGTAGTCTTGCTGGTTACCGTTGCTGTGGAGGTTTGCCCATTTTCAGTTCTGTCTTGGATTGTTACCAAGTACTAATTCTCTACTGCTGAGAAGAAATGTCCGGGATTCCATTTTGTGTGCAAGGATTTTTCAGAAACGTGGTGTCCCAGATGGTTGCTTGAACTATGCATGTCTTAACCTGTCTGCCCTGCATGGAGACTGAGTCTTTAGCAAGGGTCTTCTGGATGCATGTGGGGTTATGTCACAGGCAAGTGCTTGGGGCTGGCAGGCAGGCAGGCAGGCAGGCCACTTCTGAAGGTGAGACAGCCCATGGTGCCCTCCCACTGGCCTACAACTCCCAGCTTGCCCCAGCCATCCTTTCCAACACGTTCGCAAGGTGCCAGGTCTGGGCAAGACTTGAGTCAACAGTTGACAGAATGCTTGCGGCAAAGTGATCAGACTTCCTTAAAGGAGAGGAGGGCGGTTGCTAGGAAAGAAGTAAGTCTTCCCAGTCAGCCTTCCTGGTCCTGGAAATATGCCACAGGATCTTTGATCTGATTGATCCACAGCAGATCTCTCAGATAACCCTGTTTTTCCTATTTAGACTCTGTCAGGAAACCGAGTTGATTCATAAGTGAGGCATAGCAGCTTCTTTCAGCTGAAGGGCCAAATTCCGTTTTTGAGACCCTCTCTAAGGCCCCAAAATGTAAATCTGGGAAGGCCTCAAATTCCTGCCACTAAATAATCCTTAGGAAATATATTTCACCTTTTTAGTGATTTCAAAAGCCAGGCAAACACAGGACAAGCAATGGTCAGAAGAAGGGTGGCGGCAGAAAAAAGCACATGGCTACCTGGAGAACCATAATGGGGCCTCAAGTGAGCTGGTTTTGGCCCATGGGCCTGCAGTTAAAGCCCATGGTGTATTGCTTCTGAGAGTTTAAACGCCTAGTGGCAAGAGCTAGATCCATTCCTGTTTCTGAAATGTAAAGGGGTCCCTTGGATGAAGGCAGTGCTTGAGGACAAAATGTATTCACCTCGTCTCTGTGCCACCTGTTAACACAACCATTCCTAAGGCAAATTGCCTTCTAGGTAAAACAGTACAAAATACAATTGGCGTGCAGTTGTACTTAGCGATTTTTTAATAAAACCATTGACAACTTGGATCCTAACTTTCTTTCTATAAACAGCACAGAATTCATGGAACAGGAAGTCTGCCTCCCTTTTCCTTGCGTAGCTTCCTTTGTTTCCCAGACCTCTGCCTCTGGGTTTCAGAGAACCTTCAGGAGAGCTAGAGGGTATATAGGAGAGGGCTACAGGTGGAGGGGAGAGTTAGTTGAACCTTTCTTCTCCTTTCATGTGAATGGAGGAGCAATATAAGATACAAGCCTAATAAAAGCACGCTTCCCATTAAACCCCACATACCTGCAGAGAGCAAACTTGTTTTCAACAGCTTCTGATGCGAGTCCAAAGGCAAACATAGAAACGTAGAAATTTGCCTTTTACTGAGTTAGACCCTTGGTCCATCCAGCCCTTGCTAGCAGTCTGTCTCCAGAATTCTAGACAGGAGTTTTCCAGCCCTGCCTGGAGAGGTCACTGTCCGCTACAGCTCCCTCCCGAGGCCTCTTGAGGAAATGCATTCCACTCTTCTGGAGGCACAGCCAAAAAGATGCCGCTACCAGTAGAAGCCGAGTTTAGTTTTCAGAAAGAGCACTTGGAGAAGATCCTTGTTGGTGTACCATAAATCCGCAGGGGCTTTTGTGAGAGAAGGCAACTGCAAAAACCTTTATGGGTCTGGCCTTGCAGGGTCACTGAAGGTCAAAAGCAGCACTTTGAATGGAGCTTGGAAAGAAACCAGGTAACCAGTGCAGGTGTTTGAGAACTAGTGGAATAGATCCCACCCGTTGACTAGTGGGCAGTTGCATTCCGCACCCATTGGAGCGTTCAGATCATTTTTGGAAGCAACTGCGCAGAGAGCGGATCACGTTTTTCCAGTGTAGAGGATGAAGGATGCAAGCCATATCTCCAATTTTCCAAAGGAGGGAGGGAGCTAGGTATGTCAGGTAAGAATCTAATAACTTATACTGAAGAGGACAGATCAAACAGGGCCGGTGGGGTAATCCATGGTTGCTAATTGAATGGGCCAGATTTGGATTTCACCTGACACAGAAGGCGTTTTGCAGGATTACGAGCTAATCTGGAAAGCAGACTGGCAACTAATTGGGACCTGTGGTGTCCGGTAAAGTGGGAAAGGCTCAGAGCTTCCTAAAGGAGAGATGTCAAACAAGGGCTTTAAGGAGTCATTTAGGTTTCCCCTTTGGTGGCCTGTGGAAACCCTGTGGCACCCCACAAAGCAAATGGCTGCAGGTCTTTGAAGCTGTTGCCAGCACCGGCCTTTTCCTCTTACTGTGCTTTAAAATAGTCTTCCGCAGCCTGTTGTGAACAATGACTCCCAGTTTTTCTGACCATGCTGGCTGAGGCTGATGGAAGTTGAAGTCCAGCAACATTTGGAAGTCGCCAGGTTGGTGAAGGCTGCTCTAAAGCCACAGAAGGGGATGCAGTGAGTGTGGTGAGTTATAGGCTGTGGTTCATCATTAAGAACAGGCAGTATGCCAAAATGAGGCAGATGTGTCGTATTCGTTCCTTGAAGCTCACATGGTCCCAGGGCCGTCTTAACAGCATGATGGGCCCCGGGCAAAGCAGTGTACTGGGGCCCCTACGACAACTACAGCGACTGTTAATTGTGGAAGTTTTCCAATTTTCCAAGGGTTAACATACACAGATTAGTATGGGGCCCACAGGCAAGTGCCCATCAGGCCCATATGTTGAGATGGCCCTGCGTGGGAGTTAGTGTTAAGATCAAGGCAGGAAGAATACTGGATGCTGGATAACTCCAAGGGGCTCCTGTTGATTGCTTGAGCTCTCTCCTACTACAATAAATACGATTTATTTATTGGAAGTACTCTCAGCTGGCAGTAGACTACAAGTAGAGCAGAAGTGTGGCTGCAGGAACTGGCCAAAGGCTCCTTGCCTGATTCTATAGCCTGTGATTTGTGCAAGGTCGGAGGCTCCACCAGGGCCTCATCCTCTGATCCAGAGGACGATGGCAGAGCTGTGCACCACGGCTAGGAGGGCCCCGAGTAAGACACCCACCTGTCTTGCCCCCAAGGAAGTAACTCTGCCTGTCTGCATCCAAAACTTCTTCTGCCCACTAGAAGTTCCAAACATGGCACTGCATGCAAAATACACTTGCATTTTGAAGGAACAAACCAGTTAGCCAAACTGAACTGTGGTTTCCTTCCTTGAGAGTTCTGTGGGCCTCAATATTTAGAGGGAAATGTTTTGCTTGTCTGCAGAATGTTCTTCCATGAAGGAAGGCAGTTAGATTGAAGCTAGCCCTTGACTACTTCAGTATAAATAGTACCTCTACTTATTTAACTCCCCCGCTCCCCAGTGATGAGTTGCTTTTGTCCTCCTGGCCATCATAAGTGAATGGGGTGAGAAAAGCAACCCTTAAAACAATTTGATTAGCTTTTAAATGTCATTGCATTTCTCTCCTGCCATTTCTCCAAGGAGCCCGAGGCATGATGTGTATGGCCTTCTGCCCCCCGTTTGTATCCTCACAAATTCTCTGTGCAGTAGGCTAGGCTTAGAATTACTCGGAAGTCACCCATGGCTGGATGGAGACTTGAACCTGGATCTCCCCAGTCCTAGTCTAAGTCAATAGCAAGTATCCAAACTTTAGGCGCTACGAGAGAGCAAGAAAGTAGGCAACAGTTTTGATGGTGTCAACATCCTTCTGCCCCCACCCCATCCCTTTCTGGGCATTTTCTTGAACGTAGCATGTGGTCTGTGTTCTGTTTGGGTATCTTCCATTTCCACTGCAGTATGATGGCCCTTTGCTCCTTTCAATCCTGAAGTTTGCCTACCTTGGGAATGCCAAAGCACCGTGTAATTAAATAGTGGAGTTCTGTGGTGGGTGGGCTGGCTCCCATGAGAAGGACACAGGCCTACGAACGGCCCAAGAGTTAAACTGGAGGTGTGGCCGAAACTTCCCAGGCTTCCTGATTCCAGGGTAACTAATTCTGATTCCTGGTTGTTGAAGCAAGCTCTGGGAAACCGCCATGGTGTTACATTGGGTTAAAAGAGGTCTGAACTGCTAACACAAATAAATGGGCACCACTCTTGGAACAGCATGAAAAACTTTGACGTGTGCTTGGAAAGCATTTCTTAAATCCCAGTGGTTTTTGTTTGTCTGTCTTATATTCGAAGCATTTCTTACTCCGCTTTCCAGCCAAGAAAGGCTCCCAGAGCGACTGTAAGCATGTAACAGCGACCAAAATTCATCTGACAATTTTTAAATTCATAAGAGCCTTGATGATAGAACAGTGGGAAGACTGTTGAAGACATTGAAATGTAGTCTTACTGGGGTCTGGTCTTTCAAAGTCTTGTGCATCTTTAGGAGTACCTACAATAATTAAAGCTCTTCTGTATTTTGAAAGCAAAATCTCAGTGGTAAATGGAAAAAACCCTTTGGAACGCCTCAGCTAGTCCTCTTGCTCTGTAGCAGCTCCTCCTTGAAGCTTGAAACCTTCTCACCGCTGGTGGCACTTACACTACTTCTAACACTGTTCTTCGTGACTGCTTCTGAGTCTGTTTCTCTCTTCTAACATTTGTCTGGCTGCTTTTCTAGTAGAGCAGACTGTAAACCTGAGCCATCCTGCACCACGTGTACAGC